TCGATAACTTGGAATAAAACCTCAAATAGCTCAAAGCAATTTCCTTTAATCTAGTTTGTGGTGTTGGGGATTTAAAAAAATTATTATTATTTTAAAAGCTTCCACTCTATTTAATGGTAGCTGCAGAGAGAAAGCAAAGTGTAGTTTGGAAATTAGTTCCAGATGTTTGAGTTGTAGCTTTATTTTACTAATCTAGGTCATTACTTTTGTTGAATAGTATGTTTGGATTTTCTTCCCTTGCATGTGTGAAGCATGGCTGCAGGGACTTCTGGCAGGAAAGGAAGCTTTCAAAATCCTCTCACCCCTGGGCGACCCCACTGAAACAAAGCCTGCTTCACTGTGGTTATCCAGCATGGAAGGCAGGAGATGAGCCATGGAGAAGAGTGGTGGGGTGATTTGTGCTCCTGCTGCAGCCCAGGGTATGGAGCACAGTGGGTAGGGACTGGGATGCTCCTGCCCAGAAAGCCAAGGGCCAGGGTCAGGTCAGAGCAACAGTTTAACCTCCCAGCTATGACAGCATCCTTTTTAAATAAATAAAGCTAACTTGTCACTTGATTAATGAGAAAAGGTGCAATTTAGTAAAGCTTTTCAAAGACTATTAATAAAAGGGATCTTTTCAATGGAAAACAACTTGCTTCTGTTCAAGCCTTGGATTACCCCAAAGATTCGGACATGGAGACATACTAGGATCCTCTCAGTGCATGTTGCACATCCAGATTATCTCTGGAGGTGTGTTAGTCACTGGCTGCAAAGAGGTGCCTGGAGAAATGTTGGTGGGCATGACAGGGACCGGGGAGCAGAGCCCATGGGTATCGCCACCAACACCCTCAGGCAGAGCACTGCCAGCAGTGTCCTCAATTTAACCCCAGTTTCTTCATTCAGTTTTGATGGGATGGGTACGGACACAGTCTGGGATAGTGGTGCAAAGCTCGGGGTCTGGTCCATGAATCTGCCAAGGAGCCAGGGACTGTGGTTAAGCTCTGCTCTTCTCTCTGTTTGGCAAAAGGCTGGGTACATTGAGGATAACAGTCTCTATCCGCGAGCAAAGGGAATGTTACAACCTCTACCATATTAAGGGCGTTTTTCTCCAAGTGAAAAAATCCTGATTGTTTGGGCCTAAGCTTTAGATAGATGGCCGTTTTAATACTACAAGAGCACGCAGAATTGTGGAGCCGGCTTGAGTATAATTTTCCTGCTTATCCTGATTTCTGTTTTTCTGTTTATCCTGTTTATCCTCTCCTTGTTATCCTGAATTAGTTTGTCTTCTTGGAAATGCCAACCCACCACTCTTTAAAAAAAAAAAAAAAAACAGGAAGAAAACTTGCTGCCCGAGTCTTTCCTTTGCCTGTGGCAATTGAATAAGCCCATCATCTTACATAATATTAATATTTGTAAAAGCAGACCTACAGCGCTCATAAATCTTCAATAAAAGAGGGACAATATCTATGTCTATTTTAAAATGAAGCAGGTAAGTAGGTACTAGAACAAAAGGATATTGATACAAAGGAAGTAGAGAGATTAAAGAAATGAAACTGCCATTTTAATCTGAAAATTGTCTCCACATAAGTAATACCAGAGGCCTCACTACTGTGGGACCAATGCTTTGCTCTGGGTGATCGCTTGACCCTGGAAAGCTCCAGGGTCAAGTCCCTGACTGCTCCCTGGTATTCCATTCAAGTGGCTTTAGGAGAAAAAAAAGGTCCAAAATTGAAGCAGAGCTTGTTTGCAGAGGGGATGACTGCATTACCATTTTTCTTAACTTTGTGCTTCTCCAAATGGAAAAAAAAAAGAAGTGAAAAGTATCTGTAGGTTTGTAGATCTGTGGATTCCATTAAACATTTTTTTAAGGCAAGAAGCAGGCTTTCCCCCATTATGGATGGGGGATGAGAAAAATAAATACAGTTTCTTTTTAGCCAGCCAAATGAGTAATCAGTCTCCAAACACGAGTGGAGATGCTCTGTGAAGGAGCAACACTGGCATTGCCCCGGCCGCGTGACCGCTCCGACGGTCCCTTTGCAAAGGCAAGCTCTGCTTTGGAGCAGTCGGTTTAAGACTTTGTAAATCTTTTATTGGGTACCACCCACGGTAGGATGGTAAAATGAAACCATTTGAAGATTGTAGAGGCAGGGGGAAATGAAAAAAAAAATTTTTTTTTTCCACTTTTCCTAATGCCACTGTCCCGAGACAGTTCCGATGGCTCTTTCCCACTGTTGGGGACATGGTGCAAGTCCCACCATCTGGAATGGGGCAAGAGGGCCCTCTGGCCCCCGGAAGGGACACTGCTTTGTGTGTTAAGCATCCCAGCTGTGGTTTGTAGGCGATGTGTGTGCTGCTGCTCTGGGCTGAGCAACACCAGGGCTCTTGCTGGCAGCTGTGCTTAGCTGGTGGAGAGGAGGGAAAGATGGGTGGGTGCTTTTGGACCTTTCTGCCAGGCATGCAGTTCTTCCTTTTTGCTTTTTTGTTTACGTTTTTCCTGGACCTGAGCCACTGCAAAGCCTTTCATTCTGTATTGTTCAATGGTGGAGTTGAATCAGAAGATTCCTTCTGGACTTGGCTCCCAGACCCATCTTTGCTGGTGGTGATTCCAAAAAATTGATACAGGATCATGGGAGCCCCAGACCAGGGTACCTACGCTGGGGCATGGAATGAGTCATGTAGTGCAGCCCCGCTTGTTCCCAGCTTCTCTCAGAGCCAGAATATGGTTAGACATTGGGTTAATCTGATTTTTTTTGATTAGGCAATGTTTTTACTTTTGAAATAGTTGTTGAAGCTGAATATATTCTTGGGAGTAGTTCAATTCATTTAGCACAGTACACTTTTAAGGAAAAGTTTTTATCATGCCAGCTCAGGCAAGAAATATGTTCACAGAATTTTAGCATTCAGCTGGAATTACTATTTCATTTAAACATTTTAAGCTAATGAGAATTGGCAAAAGAGTGCTTTTTTATTAAGGTGGAAATAAGAAGGGAATGTGTTGAAGTCGTCTCAATGGAAAATGTTTTCATATTCTTATTTATGGAAGTATGCAAGTTTTGCCTTTGTCATTGTTAAGGACAAGAAAATATCTAAGAAGCTTTCATGGGGCACACAGATAATTAGCCAGACAATTTCTCCTGTTCTTTCTCATCTTCAAGCCAGCTTCGGTCTCATGAAATTTTCTGCCACAGCAAAGGTGAAATGTTAAAGTTCAATGTTATGAATCAGCTTTTCTTACATGGAGAGAGGAAATCATCCAGAACCCCTACACAGGAAAGAACTGAATGAGAGTAGTATCACAAAGGTCTATACAACTGAAGAGGATCTGAGTAAAGCAGGATAAACTTGATGGTCTAGATGGAAAATCACATGAAGGGACATCAATGCTTGCAAGGTAGATCAGGTGAAGGATTTGTGATCTCTGACCACTCATTCCATCTTCTATGTAGAGAGCCCCTGATTTGCTTTGGGGGGTCTGTTTGTGTTTGTGCTTTCTCTGTCCTTTGGGTTTAGGAAGGAAAGAAGACTTGTACAACTTTTTGATATCACTCTGCTGTTGCTTTCCCCATCCAGCCTTTTACCTCCATCCCCAGGAGCCCCCAAGAACAGCCTTGTTAGTGTCTGTCTCAGATATTGTAGTGTCTCCACTGTCATTAGAGGATAAATGACACTGTCTCCATAGCCCGGGAAGAAACCAAATTAAACTCCACCATCCTCAGTAACTGATGGGCCAGCTGCTGACCCCCATGTCACATCTGATCTCTCACGAAGAATCAAAGATTAATTGTATCTCTAATTTCTGTCAGAAATTGCTTGGCTTTGCAAAGGGGCGACTAGTAGCAGGGGAGAAGAGGGGACGGCGCTGGGCTTGGCCATCAGCCCGATGGCAAGGAAGGGCTGTGATGATGCTCACACATTCCCAGCAAGGTGGTGGCTAATGGAGTTGCATTAAGCAACAAGAAATGGTCAGATAAGCTGTTTACTGAGCACACCATCCCAATGAAATAAGACAACTCTGAAGGAGGGTGGGGAGGGAAGTGAATTGCTGGTGACAAACCCAGCACAGCAAGCCATGCTCCCCAATGGAGAGTCACACCAAGCCTGAGGAGATGTCATAAAGCCCTGTAAGTGTGACTCTATTTAATTGGACTTTGCAGAGAGGAGCTGGGAGTTCTGTGGCATTCAGGGTGGCAGCTGCAGGTGACACCAAACTATGAGACATTCTGAATGTAGCAATAAGCAGGTACTGGCTTCTGGCACTAATCTGGCTGCCATAAATTTGTGATGTATTGACTGCAGTGGAAGTCTGGATCAATATCAGTCTTCAAGAGGCTCACCAGATCAATGTTTGATACAGATAAAGAAAATAGAGGACAAGTGTTTATGGCATCCTCTGCATGCAGTATTATTATTATTCCTTGCTCATCCTTCTGCCAAGGGAAGCGAGGGAGAGAGAAGGAAGGTAAGAAAGGATTTAGAAAGGTAATTCATGAGACATTTAAAAGCAGTTGTAAGAAGGAGATTTATAGCGTTTTTTTTCCATCAATTTTAGCCTGAAGAGAGAAAGAAAAATCTTCCTAAAGATATATTGTCCTTTGAGAGACAAATTCTGATTTAACAGTGGGTTTGGGTTTAATGAGATGCCTGTGGCAAGGGGATCACTGGCACAAGGCCGTGGTTTCCTAGGCTTTTGGAAAGAGGGACATCCAGGGGTTCCACAGGTCCCTGCTGCTTTCTGCTGGTGGAAGAGAGACCCACACCTGGCTGTAAATACTTCAGGGCAACTGGCAGGAAGATTAAACCAGGGAGTGTGGAAACGGTGGAGAGGAGGGCTCAGTTTTGTGTCAATGCTGAGGTCATCTGCCACAGGTCTTGGATGACTGTGTGGCACAAAGTGGGCTCGTAGACTTCATGGCTGAGTTTATTGCCAAACAAAATCCTAGTGTTGTGAAGGTCAAGGTAAAATAAGCCACCCCCACAAAATCATTTAGTTTAGAAAAGACCCTTGAGATCATCAAGATCAGGATGCATTGAAGAGAGAGGACCTTCAGAGCATCTCTCCCTGTGTCTGTATTTCCTTCCTTTCCTTTTCTCATTTCCCCTTCGCCTTGTTTCACAGGACTGGCTGACAAAATTTGGGTATCTGCCTCCTCCGGACCCTGTCACGGGGCAGCTGCAGACGCAGGAGGAGCTCACCAAGGCCATCACTGCCATGCAGAGGTTCGGGGGGCTTGAGGCCACAGGAGTCCTAGGTCAGTGGCTCATGACCCCTCCTCTCCTTGGTGCAGAGCAAGGCAGGGATGGTTTCTTGCAGGTCCATGGGGGAGAAGGGACTTGGTATTGTGTTCTGGAGCAGCATCAGGAAAAGCCCCACAGAAAGCTCACGTGGCCCAACTTGCAGCTGTAAGAGTAATTACATGGCTCAGGTGCTCTGTTTCCTTGTGTTTTCAAGAACCTGAGGCAAGCAATTATTTCAACAGACCCACAGACACTTGGGGTTCTTAGTGTGCTTATAAATAGCTCTTGGTGTGTTCAAAAAAAAAAGTAAAACAAAAAAAGAATTTAAAAAGACAAGGGGGAAAAAAGGGAGAAAGTTGTTCTGTTCAAAGCCTTACTTGCAGCATCAAATTGAATTGACCAGAAATCCTGATTAAGCCTCCCAATTTGTATACATAGATATTTTGGGTTCTTTGCTGCTGGGGCACAGGCAGGGAAGGGAGAAGGATGGTATTGCATCACCCCAACTGTGTTTGCTCCTGCCCACAGTGCATAGGGGTCTCCTGGGATCTCACTGAGCCACAGCAGCTCCAGGTACTCCCCAGTAATGCCCAGCCAGCTTGGGAGCCCATCATCTGCTCCAGCAGCTCCATTGGCCACAGGGGCAGGCAGTGGAGTGTGTGTGGCAGGCACATCTGCCTGGGACGAAGCAGTCCAAGGGCAGGCTGAAGCAGCACGGGTTCACCAGCGTGGCCGGGGTCATTTCTCTCAGTGCCTTCATTGAGGGAAAGACAAAGCCATCATTATCCCAGCCTGCAGAAGGGTGCCTCTCTGCTCTCCTCCCCTCCGTGGCCCTCCCATCATGGGGTCAGTGTGCTTCTGCTGCTCGGGACACAATTAAGGAGAAGCAACTAATTAGCAGGTGGGTCTCTATTCATCTCAACACCCCAGCATCCCTCTGCTGGTCCCCTGAAGCTGCGGCTGGATCCCAACACTCTGCATTCCTTTCTCTGGTCTTAATTGAGCACGTGCAATAATTTATCTTCCACTGCATCACAAGCTGCAGGAGACCCTGGAACAGGAGTGGCCATTCAAATTGCATTTTCAGAGGGGGTGTTCAAAACGGGCTGGGGTGGAAGGGATGGCTGCCCTGGGCAGATCATAGCTGTGGGTTTGTTCATAAAAGCAGAGCTTAAGAGGTCAAGCCAGCAGCGAAATGAGTGAATGAAACAACTTTTTTACATTTCAGCTGGTGAGAATAGACACTTCAAGCTTTCATTCATTAAAAATAATTAATAAGAAGAACCATGGACATTCTTCAAATGAGCTCCTAGCTTAACAGAGATGGAGTTTATTTACATGTGAATGTTTCTCCTTGACAGAAGAATACTGGGAAATTAATCAAGAGAGAACAAAACAGAATACTTAAAGAAATATGTTTTAACATAATCAAAGCTGGCCACCGGTGGGCTTCCAGCAGGAACTGCTGTCCAGTGGTGGGAGCAGCAGTGGAAGGTGGGGGGCTCAGTGTTCGTGGGTGTCACCATGACATGCTGGGCCTGGTGCCATGCCCCAGTGGGGTCTTGAGCATCGATTTTTGCTCTTTTGGTTCATTCTTAGCACTTCATTTCCCTTCTCTTTGCCCCCTTGGGATTTCTTAACTCACCATTCCTATGATTTCTTGTTTTTCATTTAACCATAGATGAAGCCACCCTGGAGCTGATGAAGACCCCTCGCTGCTCTCTGCCTGACCTCACCATTGAAGAGACCAGGAGGAAACGATTTGCCCAGGCTGTCACCAAGTGGAGCAAAAGGAACTTGTCCTGGAGGTAGGAATTCATCTATCCCTGCTGAAATCTTGCAGCAAAAGACCAATTCCACAGTCACCTTTGTTAAATATGGCCTTAGAGTGAGTTTTAGGGTGATGATTAAAACATGTCCCTCTGGGCTCCCAGGACCCCATAGATTATTTATTTTAACTCTTCTCCTGACAGTCTCAGCAGTGACTTCTTGGACCCACTTGGCAATGCCTGGGAATGGTGCAGTTTGGGCTGGTGAATTAGCTAGGAGCTTTTCGCTACGTTGCAATGGTTGTTAGAGCATCTTTCTTCTTGAGGTTATTAGGACTCTTGTGCTTTTTCAGGCACAAGAAGCTGCCTGAAAACTGCCAAGCCTGGAGCTTCTTCTCTTGCCCCACCCAAGTCCAAGCATAGGAGCATTTTCTGGGTAACAAAGTCACTTTTTTCTCCTAATCCTTGCCACAGGCGAGTATTTTTCCCTCAGTGTCAGGGAGTGACACGTGTAGGTCCCTCTGCATCTGTGATACACAGAAGTTTGGGTCCAGCTTTCAGAAATATGCTGCAGATCAGGGTTGACAAGCAAACTGATCTCTGTCCCACCGAGATTTGTGCTTTTTGGGACTCATTTTTCCCCCCTCAAGTACCATGTGCTGCAGTGATTTTTCCTCTAAGAATAATGTGCAGAATGAGGTGCTTGTACTGTCCTGATAATACATGTGGATCCTATGGAAAATTCTCCTTATTAATAATAAGTTTCTCTTTGATCCTGGCGTTGCCCTTAGAGAGAGTTCCTCTTCCCACTGCAGTAACAAATCTCAGCTTGGCTGTTGCTCTCGACACATGTTGAAGCTATGGCCTTAGCAGAGATTTGGTCTATGTTCCAGCAGATTCCTTTGAGACTTTATTTTGAGAAAAGATAAACATAATTCAGCTTCAGGAAGAAAGAATTTTGGTTCATAGATGGCTTCATGTTGTGAAGTGACCCGTGTTATAAAAACTCAGCCCGTCTCCCTGTTGCCCAGCCTTGACTTGATGGGAAAAGAGGAATAAACTTCACATTTCAGGAAGGAGAAAATCCTTTGGAGGTAAAAAGAAAACCTGCCCTGGTGTTCTGGGAGCTGCGAGTGCCAGTGCAGGGACATGGCTTGTGCACAGCCTGAGCCCAGAAGCTCCTGACAAACCTGAGTGATATCCCAAGGCAGGGCAGGTGTGACAGCTGGGCAGCACATGCGGGGGACTGGCACTGCAGGTGCCATCAGGACTTTGGATGTGCTGACACAGTATCCTCAAGTCCAGGCTGGAAAGGAATGTGGAGGTGAAATGGAGCCCAGTTGTTCTGGTGGATGCAGCCCTGGGATATCCCCCACCTCTCACCCTCTTGGGAACTGTGATGCTGCAGCAAGGATTGCCATAAAAAGGGGTTTAAGTCTGAGACAATATTATATGTAAGGTAAAAAAAAAAAAATCCATCTCCTGACAAAGTAATTTCTGCTTTTTATTATTTGATCATTTACAAAATCTTGGCTTTTGTCCAAGAAAGGGCTGTATTTTACAACTGCAGGTTGCAGCCAGAAGAACATTCTAGCATTACAGAAACTCCAGTGTAGTATTTACTTCCAGGTCTTGAGCTTAAACTGGCTTTTCAGAAACTGCCATGAAAATCGACCAATGGAGACATAAAAGTTTTATTTGCTTACCTTTTACACACTGCTTGAAGATTTTAAAAGAGGAAAACAAAACTAAATGCTACTCTGACATGGATTTAAAAGTTGAAGAAAAACATGAACAATTGCAAGGCTGAATAAACAGGTAAGCAGGGCTGTAGGAAAGGAGGGCCTTGGAACAGGCACATGCACTCATGTTTTGGCACATGCACTGCAGTTTTGGGCAAACAAAATTTTAATAGGTACACAGGTCATTCAGGTTTGTTGTTTTTACCTTTGAGTACAACCAACCTGTGGAACTGAAGGGCTCAGGGAGAAAAACAATACAGACTGCATCCTGCACAGCTCACAGTAGAGCCTCATAATATCTTGGTACAGCCTTGTAGCATCCCATTACAGCATCAGAAAGATGGTTTTCTGTGCCTCATCTCTCTGTAGAGTTTCCAGGTTATTACAGCATATAAATTTTCTTTTCACAGGATTGTTTTTGTTATTATTTTGTTTTCCCTGTGCTCTTCCCAGGTGCCAAGGCAGCTGCTGAGACAGTGGTGTGCTGTGGATGCCCTCTGTTGGCATCAGTGCTGCAGCTGCCCACAGTCACTTCCCCCTCATGTTTGCAGCCTTATTTTTCACTTGCTGATTTTGCTTTATTGCTTCTGGTAACGCCCCACAGAAGGGGAGTTCATAGCTGGCATCTCCATTTCTTCCCAGTGTTTGCTGTCTCCCCACAGTCCTGGGAAGTGCAGCAGCAGGGCCAAGCCCTATCTTTGTACTCTGCGCTCCCTGGGGCAGGGGGAGCCGTGGAAGTTCAGCTTTTAAAATTTCCCAGTTTTCTTCTTTCAGTGCTGAACTGAGCTGGCTTTCATCTGTCTGTAGTTAAGGACTACTTCCTTGTGCCAAGTCATCAGAGCTGCAGCCTTTGACACTGATGCTCAGGCCATGGGGCTGCCGGCGTGGGAGCAGACCCCGCTGGCAGGGGAACAGTGACACCAGTCAGTGCCCACCATTGCTGTGAGTGTCCGAGGTGCCACTGCCTGAGCCCAGGTGAGGATTTACTCAGGCATGGAGGTGTGGCAGTCAAGAAGGGTGTGCAACCCCCAGTTCTGCATTCACATCCCCAGAAGGGCCTTGCCCTCCTGCTTTTCCCCTTTAATCAGTGGCATCTTGCCATGGAGACCTCCCATCCAAAGCCTAGGCTGCTTTGTCCCGTAGGTGCCCAAGGGTGGCAGACTGTCACCTCTCGATGTCAAGCTGCCTTAGGTCGCTGTAATGCCCCTGTCACAGTCAACTGGGATCCTCATAGGAAAATCCCCAGCAGCTGAAGCAGAAAGCAGGCAGGTGTGTGGAGACACAGTGACTTGAGGGTGACTGGCATTCTCTGTGTGATAAAGTGCAGGAGAACGAAAAACTGAACATTTTTGGGTGATAGTCTAAGTGCTGGGAGAGGGGTGATGGAGGGTTCAAACACCCACTGCTTTCCTCCTGCACACAATGGCAGTGTTGCAGAACTGCCAGGATAGCATTGGATCAGAACTGCTGTTCCATAGATGGCTCTGGCAGCTGGAAAAGCACCTTTGCCAAGGCAGCAAGCGTCTACCCTTTCAAGTATCCCCTCTTCCTTCCCCTTCCAAGAAAAATCAGGGTGGGTTTATCAAGCTGTCCTTAGCCTTCTGTGTTTGCTAGTTCTCTGCATTTATTTTATTTGTCTGTGGTTTCAGGACAAGGAAAGAGTGCTTTCATTAACAAGCTATTGATTTCTCAACCATCTCTGATACTCTCCCATTTTTGTCTTTGGAAGGACAAAAACCAATAAGGAAGCCAGCAATCAAAATAGGTGTGGGTGCCCCTCAATGGCAAACAGAGGCAGATCAGTCCTCTCCAGTCTCTACTTATTAACCATCCTAGATACAAAGTCTGTTTGGGATGGGTCAAGCAAAGGAGGTGACTCAGGGTCCTCACTAAGGACCGGCAGAGCTGTGTGAGAGTCAGCATTGATTTGTCTGCATGGCAATGCTGCTGCCTGGCTGAGCTCTAAATGCAGAGGGGAGATTTTTCTCCTTGGCATCTAGTTGTGCCCCTCAACACTACATCTTGTTCAGCAGCTGCAAGTTCCAGTGTTGTGGCTGATGCTCTCTCCTATAGCCCCATCCGCCACAGGGATGGATACTCCTCAAGATGTCCCAGAGTGTGATTTCCAGAGGGATGTGAGTGACCCTACAGCTTAGGGAAATGTTGGTGGGCTGGCTGGAGGGACTGAGCTGCCCAGTCCTCATCATGCTCTCTCTGGCTAGCACAGGCTGTCTGGAGCAGAGAGCTTTCTCTCCAATTAATCACATCAGGCTTTTGCTCAAGATCCCAGTTCTGTAAGAGGAGTCTCAGAAGGGATTTACATTCAAGAAGAAGGCGTGCTTCTCTCCACTGAAACCTAAGCACCATTTACTACTACTACTACTACTAATAATAATAATAATGAATTAAGGTAGGAAGAAGCTTATTTATCTGCATGCTGTTAGAAATGTGCCTCCTTTTCAGTGGAATTGGGTGATGCAAGGCCAACAAACATCCTATCAGCATAATAGTCCTTTCCTAATCTCATGGAAAACAATTAGGAGAGCTCCAGCAATCAAATCAGATGCTGAATTGAAAAAACTCTGATAGGATTCTCTTGAAAAATTACAGTGATAATGAATAAAGGATAAGGGATTTTCACTTACACCTGCAGCATATTTAATAAACTGTGGGTCAGCTCAGAGGTGTAGTACTTTTTATTAGAAGTAAAATAGATATTGATACTGTTTCTGCCTTAATCTAATGCTTCTGGAGTCAGATCTGGGGATGAATGTTAATAATATTTGTTTCTCTAGACAGGACTCTTCATCCACCATCCTTGTACATGAGAGATCTGATTTATTATCCTCATTTTAGAGCGGGAAAGAAAAGGAAAGGAAAACAGCTCATGTGACAAGCAGGGCTTGAGGAGGAAAGAGCAGATAGTGCCCCCAAATGTGACTCTGTGCCTTAGGCACCATGATCCTGGAGAAAGGTCATAATTCCTGGGCTAAACATAGTGTGTGTTACATGTATTTATTCAGTAGAAATTAAAGCAGCAAAGGGTTTACCTAAGTCCCGAGGAGTGTTATGAAAGATGAAGACAGCTAGCTGATGAATATCTGGAACTCAGGTCGCCTTTTTCTCTACTCTAGAGAATTAGATCCAGACATAGTCTCTTCTATAAACTAAAAATTGCCTGCAAATTGTCTTTTCTAACCCCATACTCATAATGTTTGTACCTCTGTGCTGTCTCCTTTACACATATGTTTTCTTTGAAGTCCTACAATCATCTGTATGTTACATGTATGTAACTCATTTAGATTAAACAATAGGGTTTTTCTTTGCCCAAAGAGTCAAGGGATAGCAAAGGCGAATATATGAACGATTTTTGCTCATTTAGCTGTGATGTATTTTGCCTGATTCATCCACTCGTTCCCACCGTCTCTAGGATGAGCTTTCCAAGTGGTTCAGAGGAACTGTTAGTGAGATTTCTGCTTATTCTCATGAGTCCTTTTTTGCTCTATCTGAGACTTAACCCTTACCAGTTTTGCCCTGGCCCAAAGCTGGTGCCTCCTTTAGGCTGCCTGTCTCTTGAGGATGTGGGATGTGTTCCCAAACTCAGCAAGCAAGTTGTTCCTACTCCCCTTTTCACACCCATGGTGCCTCCCAGCACTCCAATAGCTACTTGGGAAGAGCTTGAGTGATGTGACATCCCCTTCTGACGCCTGTAATTACCTCTTGAAGTTTAGTCAGGTCATCACTGCCCCTTGGTGATGGGAAGTGGTGTGGTACCAAGTAATGCTGTCACATTAGTGATGCTGGTACATATTGGGCAGGAGGGTAAGTGATGTGATCATAATTATAGCTTCAGCCTTTAAAAATCTGTCAAACCATGACAACACTTTGGCTGGTGTGCTGGTGCACAAAAAATAAAGTATCTGTTATGACTGGGGTAGAGCTGGCCAGAAATTATCCATCAGAACAGGCTTTTGTCAATAATTACTCAGTCAACAGTACATTTGCTTGGAAAGCGTGTACATTTTTGTCAGAACTGTCAACAAAAGATTATCTAAATATACTCCTTTAGAAGCCAAGGTGCCTTGTTGCATCTTTGCCTTTTCAACTCCTCTATTAAATCAACAAAATTAGGAATTCTTTTTCAAAGTTGGTTTATACAGGAAACATTGACTTTTCTTCCATTCCAGCTCAGCCCAAAAACACCAAAATCTGTGAAGGCCTCACTCTGTCTCTGATGCACCAGGCACCTGCAGAGCGAGTTCTGATGGTTCTTGGAGATCTTTCATGCTACTGACCCATCCTCTTTTTTGCCCTCTTTATTTCAGAGTTCGCACCTTCCCAAAAGAGTCCCACCTGGGCCACGACACTGTCCGAGCCCTGATGTACTATGCCCTGAAGGTCTGGAGTGACATCACCCCGCTGAATTTCCATGAAGTGGCAGGAAACAATGCTGACATCCAGATAGACTTCTCCAAGGCAGATCACAATGATGGCTATCCCTTTGATGGGCCTGGTGGGACGGTGGCTCATGCTTTCTTCCCTGGAGACCATCACGCAGCAGGGGACACTCATTTTGACGATGATGAATATTGGACTTTCCGATCATCAGGTAGGTCAGGGTGGGAGAGCTGCAGCCAAGCACAAAGACTCTCAATTTCCCTTTTCTGCTCTGTGGCTGGAGTGGTTTAGCCTCTGTCACACCTTCACCCCAGGCTTCAGGATCCCTGAAGTCGTCTTCTTCTGATTCCTCTCTCAGCCTTGCTAGCAAAATCAACCCAGGCAGTGTTGAGGACAGTCTTATGTTCCTGGAAGCCTCAATGGCATCTCCATGTTTCTCCTTATCCTGCTAGCAATTGCCGAGCTCCCCATCACCCAACTGCAGTCCCCATCTCTTCTGAGACCTGGAAAGATTGCAGGTTGAGTATGAAGCTGCTGGAGCTCTTGGATGGGGACTGCATTCTCTGACTTCAACATCTTTTGGGTGCCTTCACTGCCACAAGTCCCAGTTTCCTATTTTTAAAGTACAGTATTAGCTGACCTACATATAAAGGGTTCTGTTGTTCTGGGAAAAAGGTCTAGTTTTTTCCTGCCATCTCCTGTCTATTACCAGACATTAGGATGGTTACAAGCTGCACTTCTATTCTTTTCTATCTTCATCTCATCTGGCTAAAGCAGAGTTTTAATAAGAGAGGAAGTATCAGAAGCTGTATCAGAAGTGTTCATCAGCTGCAAAACCTTATGTGGGGATCAGGTCCCCAGCCTTCACATCAGGCATTTTGACAGAATGTCTTTTTTGCAGCCACCAGCTGCTAATGTACTTGTCATGCCACCTCCTGCACTAGCCTCCTAGTGGGATCCTGCTGCCTCAGCTTAATGACTTTGTTTAAACCTGTCTTCTCTGAAAGAAGCTAATGCCTTCTTCCTGCCCACCGGTTGACCTCCGTCCATCCCCCTGAATGTTCGTGGTCAGGAGTGGTTGCCAGCGGTGCTGGAGGAGGTCTCAAAGTGAACTCGAAGGTTAAAGCTCTGGACAGACTGATCCTTGAGAATTACACCTGCTCCTTGTTTCATGCTGATGTGCAGCCCCAACTGACGGCTCGTATCAGGAAGGAAAAAGAAAAAGCAGCAGTTTTGATCAGCAGACATACAGGGCAGAGGGAAGTGCTGTGGTCAGCAGCTTGCCACAATGAATGTTTTAGCGATGGAGTCAGTTTTGCAGCTAGGGGTTGGGAGTGCTCCTTCTGGAGCAAACTTCTGTGAAGGAGTGATCTCAGAGCCAGCAGTCCTGCAGGGAGTGCTCCTCCAAGCATCACCGAGGGATGAGGGGATGAGCCTGCCAGCGAAAAGCTGCCCTCTATTTTGAAGATCTTGGAGCTACCCGAGCTTCATCTTTTATTTATTTTGTTCTCTCTACTGATAAAAAAACAACATCTTGGTAGGCGATGTAATAATATCCCCAAGGTTGTCAGCCTAGCATTAAAATGTCAGAGAGCATATGTCTTGTTCTCTCTTAGTGCCAGGGAAAACAGCAAAGGTCATAAAAATCTCGCCTGGTTACAGACACTGTAAATAATAGTCACGAAGGAAAAGGCAAAATTCAGCAAAGGATCTCTCCCTGCTCCAAAACCCCACGCCTGGTGAGGAGCACTAAGGACTGGGCAGGATCAGGCATGGCTACTTTTGTGCAAAAAAGTAGCCATCTCAGATGTCAAAGAAGCCAACTCCTTTGTCTCCAATCATTCTCAGGGAATGTGACACTCCCCAGGGCTCCTTCCAGGGATCTTTCCAAGCTCACTGCTTCTTTATTACAATACTTGACATCCTGATCTTTGTAAGAACCACATTTAAAATCATTGCTGATACTGCCGCAGGACATTCCTATGCAGAGAGGGGCAGAAATTGCACCGACATGTGGCCCAGCCTGTCTGGAGCTGAGTAGTGGGAATGCACTAAGCAGGCTAAGTCCCGGGAGCAGCTCCTCCTTTGCTTTGGTAGCACTGGCTTATGTTTGGAAATGAGCATTAATCCTTTACATGAGTCTCTCAGGCTCTGGAGAGGATAGGATTGGTCTGTATATGGGTGTGGTGTGAGGCACTGGGGGTTGGATTGCAAATAAGGAAATTTGAGGAAAGAGAATATAGTAGAGGATAGCCCAGGCTGAAGGAAAAAAGTCATCAAAGGAGGTATTGACGTTCAACAATGTCTCCCTAAGGCCCATTGTGGTGTGTGAGGGTCAAAGTGTTTGCCAAAGGCAGTAGACAGAAGAGCTGCAGCCCTGTCAGCACAAGGTGTGTAACAGGAGAAGATGGTAAATCCTGTACAAACAAGCTGGATATGGTCACCTACTTGTGTCAGGGCAGCAGTGAGATGAGCAGGTCGGTGGCTGATAAACAGATGAAAATTCATGTGTTTGTGTGCATATAGGAAGGCTGAGGGATGGATTTGGCCGGGGCAGCAGCATGCGAGGCCCAGCAGGGAAAGCCCCGCAGAGCACCAGGGGCAGGTGGGCACATGGCTTGGCTCATTGTCACAGGATGTGACCAGCTTCTGGCTGGTGGCTGCAGAAATCTGGTATTCTGGGCAATGCAAAGGCTGTGTCAGCAGCTGCAGCAGGCATGATGAGGTGCAGGGAATGACTGCTCTGGCCCAGCTTCTGCAGTGCCACTCAGCAGATGATTGTGATGTGGTTGCTGTCTCAGACCTTTGTCCAGCTTTTTCTCAGGTGCCAACAGTGATCTGGAAATAAGGGTGGTGATACCCAGGCTGGTGTAGGCTGAAGCCTGGTTTACTTTCCATTTTCATATAATACACTCTAGTCTCCAACTGGAAAAGAAATTGTTTTTTCAAACTTTACCTATTCCAAAGCTCTTTCTGGTTTATCCAACATAAACCTACACTTTCTTTTACAGCCCTTGCAGCCTATCGAAATCCCCCAATTACTATCAGCATTTAGTGACTTTTATTTCAATTTTGCCCTTATCTCCAGACACTCATGGGATGGACCTATTTGCTGTAGCTGTCCATGAGTTTGGCCATGCCATTGGCTTGACCCACATCTCTGCCATAGAGTCTATCATGAGACCCTACTACCAAGGTCCAGTGGGAGATCCTCTGAAGTACGACCTGCCTTATGAGGACAAAGTCCGGATCTGGCAACTCTATGGTAAGTTTGCATCCCTCATGTGGCTATGGTCTGTTCCTGCCATGGCAGGGCACACTGGAATAGCTGTTTTCTGGGGTGATCTGCGGGGAGGATTGTGTTCCCCACTACTGCTTCTTTTCTACACAGGAGTCAGGGAATCTGTGTCCCTCACAGCCAAGCCTGAAGTGAGCAAAACAGATGACCATCCAGTCCTGCCAGAGCTGCCAGAGAATCGCTCCACTGTGCCGTAAGTCAAATTTCTTCCCTTCCTGCAAAGGATGTGTAGTAGTGAAGCTCTGCTTCATCAGTATCTTGCCTGCTCACTCTGGCTTAGTTATTTCTCTCTGGATCTCTGTGTATTTTGGTAAAACTCAAATTTTTTACTCGTATTAGTGTAAAGTTGTCACCATCATCCTTAGGTAAATTCATCCTTGCTGGAATTTTAATCAAACTTCCTCAGCAGTCTCCTGAATTGCACAAGCATAACTTACCTATATCATTCCATAGTGAGCAACTGCCTAATGTACCTGAGGGAGTGAATCTTGGAACAAGTGGACTGGTAGCCTGACTCCAGCGCAGGTTAGCATTGGCAAAGGACTGCTTACACTGAGTGTCATCAAGGAACCGGTATGGCCTCATTAAGGGCTCATTAATAAATGTTGACCAGGACAGCAGGACACTTAAGAGAAGAAGGGACACTGAACAAAAAGGCAGGAGGTGATGGTCACACACATTTTTGCCAGACACCAAGAGTGCTTCAAGTGAGAGTGGCAGAGATGGAATAGGTCACCTTCACCTCACATTCCTTTTGTTTCAACATACCAAATGCCATTAGTTACCTTTCTCCGTGGATAGCTTCTAAAGGCACTTGCCCACCATGATCCTTATGGCCATGTTTGCAACTAGGAATATGAGAGCCCTCTCTCTGCTGTTGTGGGAAGCCACCATCTCACCCCAGCAGCAGGAGCAGCAGCAAGCCTGCTAATGCCATACCCTCGTTCCTACCTTGTATGCTGAGAGGGTGGATGGGGTTTGCCTCCACATCTGTCATTTTGTGGCGAAAGAGGGCAGTGAAGCTGCTGCTGGCAGCCCAGCACAATTTTTCTATCAGCAGAATAGATTTATGCTTCCCTGTCACCCACAGCAGCTTTTCTGTGCAGGTTCCCAGCATCCTTTCCTTGTTCCTCCATCAGTCATCATTTCTTATGTGAGCTTTGTGGCTCTCTCGGTGCTTCATACTCTTCATACTCTTCATACTTCTTCATCACCCACCTTGTTAAAGCAGCTCTGTATCCCAGCTACCACTTGCCAGGTATCTTTCACTGGATATCACCTGGCTCCTCTGGGTTCCTCTGTTTAGGCTCAGCTGCTTTCTGCTTTGCAGCTCTGTCACCTCTCACTGCCACTTTGGAGCTTAGCCCTGGAGCAGCTGGAGCGAGAGGCTGTTTGTCTGCTTTCCGTGTCCTGCTTCCCTGGGGTAGCTGGCCTGGTAGCTGTGCCACTGGGAGTGGGAAGCCAGCTCCGCCCTCACCAGCTACACGAGCTGGTGGATGTGTAGATAGTGTCCTCGCTTGACTCCCAGCAGTGGCATCTGGTGGCTCAGGGTTGTCAGCCCAATCTGTTTTCAGGCTGATATTTGCCTGAGCTCGCCTTGGAAATCCCCGTGTTCGTGGCTGGGCTTGAGCATGAGGAGTGACAGATGGGCACAGCCTGTAGTCTTCTCCAGGAGCAGGAGTGATTCAGTCCGTGGGATAGGAGGCATTAGGGGAACACAGTCCCTCACTGCCTTCCTGGGTCCTGCTCACCTGGGCATCTCTCCACAGGTTCAGGCGGGATGTGCCCAACAGGTGTAACACGGAGTTCGATGCAGTGGCCCAGATCCGGGGAGAGGCTTTCTTCTTCAAAGGTGAGCGCTAGGGGTCTGTGCCTGTGTCATCCTGTGGTGGCTTTGGTGTGGCAGCACCAGAGGCAGTGCAGTGTGGGATGAGCTGGGGTGGGTGGTGAGGATGAGCTGGCTGGGGTTTGTGGGCTGCTCCCACAGACCTAGGGAGGCATCTCACATACCTGAGTGTGTGGCTGGACTGGTAACAATCCAGCACAGCAGTTTTTACTCTGATCCATTGCAATGGACTGCCCACGTGAAGAACTAAAATCCAATATTTGTGCTACCAAAGTCAAAATTGAGGTTGAACCAAGGATGAGCAGAGCAGCAACAGTCCACTGCTTTTTTCCTGGATAACCCCAGCCTTCCTTTCCTCCCATGCTTCACCTTCCCTAATGCTGCTTGCCATGTATCTGTCAAAGACAGTGTGCACACAAGTGAGGACCATCTGGTTTTTTGCCAGCAAACACTTGCTGGCAGTATGTTCTGGGGCTGCTGAGCTGTTGATGAGGATCCTATTGGTGTCTTCTCAGCTGAGCAAAGCGTGTCTAGGCTGGACTCTCTGGGCTTTCTTTCTCATCTTTCCAAGATGCAAAAATGCCCATGGGCATTTCTTTGCATCCCTGGCAACCATTTGGCCACCTCAAAGCCATCCTCCAGGGAAGTGGAAGCATTTGCCCCAAGGATGACCAGCAGTGTCCCGGTATCTGGGTATCACAGTGTGTGTGGGTCACAGGCAAGAAGACCAAAAGGGCTCCAGAGAATTTGGTGTTGCCTCTGCCCTGAGGGAAGCACAATATGGAGACTATTCAACAACATTATTTGTTCAAATGTCAGATCCAAAAAGCCACAGTGAAGAAAGGAAAGTCAGAGACTTGAACTGGTGTTAGGATAAGTGGCTGTCTGTCTCTCGGAGGGGAAGAATGGATGAAGTGAAGAGAAATCCATCCTGGTGTCTATTTTTGGATATATTTATTGCAGGCCAAAAAGCAGATGTTAAGAGCACGGGGCCAGTGGATGCCAGTGGCATGTCTGCCTCCAGACCCCATCACTTTCCTCGCAGCCCACATTGTTGCCCTCAAACCATCCTGTGCACCAAGGAGCAGGGATGTCACTTTTGGGGCAGGATTTAAATGATCTCTAAGGCTGAGCTTTGTCCTTCAATAGGCATTTTGTTCTGAGCTGGTCCTGCTGGTTCCCTAGATGGAAAGAAGCTACTGTGAAGGCACCTGGACTGGAGCTCCCCAGACCTCACAGGCTTGTTGTTTTGAAGGCAACGGTGGGTTCTCTGCTTTTTGGAATCCCTGCTTTCCATAAAATTATAAAAGCTGGTGTCACAACCTGCCAAGTCTGGAGAAAGAGCTGAGTGTGTGTGGAATACAAATCTGAAGATGCATCTTTGGTGTCCATTGTTTATCTTCCCTCAGAAATTCATGCAAGACCAGATGCAAAAAACATGAAATAATTTCTAAAGGCAATAGCAAATACAAGACAAAGTTGAGACTTGCCTCCGAAACATCTTGCTCTGGATCACATCACTCTGTGGAGTTCTCTGGAGAAAACATAGCATGAAATGTGCTGCAAAAAGGCTGAGAATCCCAAAGCCAACACAGAGTTGTATTTGGAGTTGCCTCTGAAGACCTCAGATTCCTCAGGAATCCCGTATCAGTCTGTTTTGGCAGGAAAAAGTTTTTCATCCTTCCCACAAAGGACAAATCTTTTTCCTTTTGCATTATCCAAAATATCTCCGAAATCTCCAAAATATGTTTTCCTAGCTGGGCCAGTGCTGCTGCAGGTGTTTAAGTGTGTTAGCTAGCGCCACGAGTACAATCATCCTGGAAGCTCCACAAGACTGCAGTCTCTGCTTAGTATCCTGCACCTCTAGATGGTGCCAAAGTCCTTAACTGTGCCTCCTTCCCCACCTCAACCCTTCCAGATCTACTCAGATGGTTTCCTCCTCCTTTATTTTCTCACTCCTATTCTTCATTACAAAACAACCCCTCTGGTATTTCTGTGTTTCATTGTAACATCTTAGACATTTCCAAACTTGAAAGCAGCTGAACCTCCTGCGTGCAGGAAGCTGTGGCTGCTCCAGGAGAGGAGGAACAGGGATGGTTTTTTGGATGCTCCTGCTTAAGGCTGTTGGTGCCTGGTCCCACCAGCTTGCAGGAGGTCCCATGCAGAGAGGGAGGGAGGAGATGAAAGGGTCCTCTTTCCTGCCCCAGCTCAGTGGCACAGCGTCACACTGTGGCCAGTAAGGTAACAACTCCATTGCAATGTCCAGAGGATTATTTTAATCCAAACCAAAAAAGGGATTTCTTCTAATGACTGTCAGAAATAGAAAACAGTTGAAGCTGCTGCTGGAGAGCAGAATGGCCCAACATCATGGCTCGCATCTCACATGCTTTGCTTCCTGCTGCCTCCACCCACCCAGCACTCACCCCCCAGCGAAGGTGAGTTGAGTGTGGTTCAGTAATATCCAGTCTGTCCCTCCAGGCAAGTACTTCTGGAGACTGACTCGCAATAAGCACTTGGTCTCCCTCCAGCCAGCTCAGATTCACCGTTTCTGGCGGGGTTTGCCACTCAACCTGGACAGCCTGGATGCAGTCTATGAGAGAACCAGCGACCACAAGATTGTCTTCTTCAAAGGTGAGAGCAAACATAGTGCTGGAGTTATAGAATGTGGTGGTAGGCAGGAGACACCAGTGCCACATGTTAATCATCTCGAGGGCCAATCAGAAACCTGTTATCCATGAGCAAAGCCAGGAGAAATGAGCTGGCAGGAAGAGCAAGCAAAAGGTAATGGTCATGTTCCCCAGAAAATGAAGGAAATATCATTGAAGAAAAAGTTCAGCCAAATGTAACTAAAATCTGAGCTTTTCAAGAATGAAACACAAGCAGGAACCATCCCTAGACATACTCACAGGTGGTGTGTTCCTCCTTTGACTTTTCTCTTTGTATTTGCTGTTGAGAAAAGAAGTCAGAGAGGAAATAAAGAACTTCAGTTCTAATAATTATATTTCTGTTACTTTTTTCTTAAAATAAGTGGGAGTTTAGCTCTTGGTTTCTATATGAATGCCCGAGTCCCCCGCAGACCATTCACTCTGGGGTGGTTAGATGCCAGTCATGCACTCAATGTCACCCAAGATCCTAGCAAGCACTGACTCTTGTTTCACCAAGGTTGTGCACTTGAAGTGCTAAACACATCCCAGCCCTCCATTCTTCCTCTTTGGAAATTGCTTTTTGTCTCCTGACCGTTCTGCTTAAAACATGGTGCAATTATGGGTTTCAGAAGTGCTGAACCTAGCACTTCTGGAAGCAATAATTTGGTTTCAGATCCCTCAGCCGGGCCAGAGAGACGGCTCATGTCCCACACAAGCCCCTACACTTGCAGAAGGCCTTTCCACGTGCAGCCAAAGCCCTCCCGGGCCACCAGCACACTGAGCCCCCCAGAGCCACGCCAAGCCCTGCATCTCCCCATGGAACAGCATATGGAAGGCTCTGCCATGTGTGCCTCAGTCAGCCTGCCCTGCTCTGCTTTCCCAGAGGGAATGGGGCCAGTTGGAGCATGCCACCCCTTATGCCTGGCTCTAGACCCTCCCAGTCAGGTCTGCAGACCACAGCAGCCCTCATTCATTTCCTTCCCTTCCTCCTTTCTGTCCCTGATGGGGATGAACAGACACCCAACCAGGAGCTCAGGTCAGGGGGCTCCTCCCAGCTGCTCAGGAGACTGGAATTCCTTATATGCTACAGCTGTCATCTTGTTCCAAGACATGCATTCATTCTCTGTGTGTTTTAGTCCTGCCTAGCTCCCTGCGTAAAGTCAGAATTTTCTTTCCAGCTATAATATATGACTCATTCTCTCCCTCCAGCACTGTTTCATTGATCTCTGCACAGAAACCAAAGAACACAAACTGCCTTGACCTCTAAGGTCCTGCTGCTGATACATGCATTCATGCTTCTTCAGATATTCTAGAAAACCAAGGGAGGAAAAAGTCTGATCCTTAAAATAGCCTATGCAATACCTAAAAGGACACTGCAGGTTCTCAAATAGATATTGTAAATGAAGAAAGACTGTCCCAGTGGTTAGAGAATTATGAAGAAATTGAGTCATCTGGGTTCATTTGCTTGTTCTCACACAGACCAGGGCCCAGTCTTGCCTTCTTCATTTTTATTGGGAAAAAAACCCATATTGGTGGTTCTCTCCTGCCCCAGGTCAGGCTGAGGAGGTGGCTATGTAAGACCCTTGAAGAGCAGTGAGCTGTTTGTATGGGGTTTATCCAGTCCCTGTGCATCTTTATAATTCACAGGTCTTTTGGCCCATCAGGCTCTAGAAAGCGGTGATTTCTCTTCCAAAGTGGACCACACTTGACTTCTCAGAAGCCAAATAGCCCACTGAAAGTGCCCAGTTTGCCCGCAGAATCTGCCCATAACTTTGTTTCTTTGGCTACCCGGCAGAAATCCAAGGGGCAGGAAACCAAACACCTCCATCAAATACATAGAAGTGACAGCTGTACTGACACTGTCAGTGTGTTCATGTTCTGGGACAGTCATGCTTTCAGCAGCAAAGCAGGGCTATGTCCATGGACAATCTGACAGAAAAAAGCAGCTATTCAAAGCAGAGGTTCCCCCATGGGCTGACCCTTTCCTATTCCCATCCTTAAATGCCCAGAGCTCAGCCCTGAGGCTTTGCCACCACAGTAGATAACAAAACATTAGCTCAGCTCGTCTGCGGGAAAAAACTGGTTTAGGCTGTGAAACAAATGTGATTTTATTCACTGCTTTCCACAGGAGACAGATAATTATTTCCTTTTCACAGGAGACAGATACTGGGTCTTCAAAGACAACAACGTGGAGGAAGGGTACCCACGGCCTATTTTGGACTTTGGCCTGCCCCTGGGAGGAATCGACGCTGCTTTCTCCTGGGCTCACAATGACAAAACTTATTTCTTTAAGGACAATCTCTACTGGCGCTATGATGACCATGAGCGGAGGATGGATCCTGGGTATCCTTCAGAGGCCATCCTGTGGAAGGGAATACCCAGCCCTTTAGATGATGCCATGAGGTGGTCAGATGGTGAGTCCATATGGCAGTTTAAAGAAGCACAGCAAAGAAAATCAGTGCTCTGTTGAGCTGTAGCTGCTTCTACCCTGCTTGCCAGCACAAACACTGAGCCCCTGATGGGATGTTCCTAGTGATTGGAAGCTGAAGAGAGAGGTGTGATTCCAGCCAGACCTCTCCACACTGCTCGCTAGAAGGCACTGTAATTTTAAACAGGCAACAAAAATATAGTGGGGGGATAATTATTGCACTTTAGCATAAGACCACAGTTGATGCCGTTTTGCAGTGATTTTTATCCTAGTATGGGCTGATTTGCGCCTAGCTGGTTTTGTTGTCATTGGATTTTTAGCTGGATATATGAGGATGCTGACAGAAAATACTTCTAAAGATATTTTCCCAGAGTTACAGCTTATATTCTGAAGATGAGATTTCTCAATGGTTTCTTCCCCCTGAAAAGACCACAAGAAATTTGTCACAGGAGATATTTACAGCCAGCTATTCACTCACAACAAAGTGGCACTTCCGGGGTTTATTTACTGGTGACCTAAGAGCGTAATAGCAATCATTAAACCAGGGAGAGAGGAAGGCTTGCAGAGACTTTTCAAGCTGAATTTCTTAAGCTATTGAGAGTGACATTCCCAGAGGTAGGAATCCTTTTGAGCATGGGGCCTGCTTAGACAATTTACAACTTCCCAGTTCAGAGTGGAAAACATGGACCTGAGAGTAGAAGGTTCGCAGGGAGGGCCCCGGCAGGCTCAGGTTATTTTTCTGAGCCCAGGGTCAGCAGCACGCACTCCAGGTCATTAATGGATAGCAGGGTGTCCAGCTTTACCATACCTTATTACAAGAAGGAGAGTTGTGTATGGTGTGTCCAGCAGTGGGTTCACAGGGCCTTGACCCTACACACCCACGGTACAGGAGGTACATCTGCTGTAGGACTCAGCACAGAAGAGGCAACACCTCACCATCTGCCTCCAGCTGCTGGTGGCTCCTGGCTGATGTGAGAAATCCTGGCCAGGCATAGCATGACCTTAACCTCTGGAGCATCCCTCCTGCAGCAAGAGGGGATATTGAAAACAAGCGATGATATCTTACGTGCCTCCACTCCCCAGGGCTCAGCTGTGGTGGGAATGCTCCTCTGCTGCTCCAAGCGCTCCTTTGTTCTTCCTCTGAGACAGCACCTACCGCCACTCACCTTGTACTTGGGTTTTGGTCTCTTTGCAGGTGCAAGCTACTTCTTCAAGGGCAAGGAGTACTGGAAGGTGCTGGACAGTGAGCTGGAGGTGCAGCCCGGGTATCCACAGTCCATCGCCAGGGACTGGCTGGTGTGCAGTGACATGCAGGCCGACGCCCCAGAGGCAGCCGAGAGCAGCAGGACTGGGGCACGCTCCAGGCCGGGGCAGCACAATGAGAGCCGCTCGAAGAATGGCTACGAGGTCTGCTCCTGCACCTCGGGCACCCCATCCCTGCACCCTCACCTCATACCCAGACTGACAGCCAGCCTCGTGCTGGCTGTGTGGACAGCAGCACCGGTCTGTGCAGCCCTATGACAGCTCATCTCGCTGGCAGGACAACACCATGGTACTCCAGCATACAGGTCCATGATTGCTAACTGTTGGAAGCAGAAAAAAAAAACCCAACATTCCTAGGAACATGCCAGTGAAGGGTTTGAATTCTCCATGAGAAATGAACAGTGATTTTGTTTTGGGGTTTTCTTTCTTTTTCATTTTAGTTTAAAGGTCTAATAACAGAGTTGAGTTCTGCACCTTCTTATTTCCCCATCCAGTTAAAGATGAGAGCGGCCTCATGTTGAATTTAGAAATGCTCCGTAGAGATTTATTGCTCTGGATGTTTACACACAGCAAACAAGGGAGGAGAGAGCTCCTGGGATGGAGTGGACACAAAAGAGATGCTGCTGAGATAGACAGTGACAGAAAGGTATCTGGCAGGAGGTAGTAGCTATGTGCTGACACAATGTACACATCCCATTGGATGTACTAGGTAGAAGAAACTGACTCCACTAAGATTAACTGCAAGGTGATAATTATTTTACTATCAAGCCTGGTGTAGTCACTGGTGTCTGGGTAACCTGTATCAGTTTCTATGGGTCAGAAACACCTTTGCCTTTCAGAAGGCACTGCAGTTTATCTTTGTATACAAGTCATTGTAATTTACCAATTTCTCTAATAAACTTTGGCCACCTACACAGAGATCTCCCCGTCCTGTGCTAGATCAAGCCTTTCACCTGCAGCAAGTTTCTGGCTGCTGAGGCTCTTAGCAGCATCACCTCTGGATGAGGAGCAGTGCAGCCAAATTAGATGCAGTTGCAACCACTGCCCTACACTAATCTGTGCACACAAACTCCCAGTCTTAGAATTCCTGTGTGGGGTTGGCTTATGTTTTAGGAGGAATCAAGATGTATTGCATTTGTTTGTAACTCTGCCATACCTGGCTGTGCTGCAGAGGATGGGCTGGAGCAGGGAAGATGCTGCACAGTCAGCTCAAACTCTTTTTGATGCTTCTGACAGGAGCTTGGATTAGCAGAAGCCAAGATGAAGCACTGCATTAGGATGCTCCTGTTTGGGTTTATTCCTCCCTATCAATTTTCTGTGGTATGATTTGGGCATCTGAGAGTCCTTGAAAATGGTGAGAACTTGGATTAGATGTCAAGCCAGGGTCCTCGAATCTGCTGTTGTCAAGGGGCATCAGTGGGCAGAGGCTGCTGGCACACACTCTCCTTCTCTGCCCTGCTTCTGCAAAGCTCCTGCACAAAGCTCTTTTGCTGCCCTGCTGGGGCCAGCTTCTCAGGGACACATGGCAGCAGACAGTGTCACTGCAGGACCCACGGCTGCTCCAGTGGCCCTGGTGCCAGCTATAACACAAAGCCCTCTGTGGCACAGCAGAAAAGGCAGAAAAAGTGCACAGTTGCATCCTGACAGAAAAAGGGGGTCTCCTCGAGTTTCCCTCTGCTATTTTGTCTGGGCCTGTCAGGATTAACCATAAACAACCCAGCCAAACCCCTGACTCCTCAAGGGATGTGTCAAACACTTGAACAGAAACACAATTCAGTAATGACTACAGAGGAAAAATTACTGCTAATCACTTATGATCTGGGGGGAATTTCCTTGGTAATTACAAACCTAGGACATGGAGAATATTGGATGCAGAATGCTAATTTTGGCCATGGGCATCCAGAGAAGAAGGATATTCCTCTTCCACAGAATGGAAAGCCCGGCATCCGGGTGTTTCAGGGGCAGATGAAAGGCTGTGCAGGGGAGGGAACTACCAGCAAGACCTTTCTCCCCACCTCCCCCCCACTCCAAGGTGCAGCAGCTCCAGGTGTGATCAGCTGCCTTCAGAGGGCTACCTGGACACACCTGTGCAGGGAGCTGCTAGTCCAGAGGGGCCAGCGGGGGCATCCCGAGTGTCCCTCCAGGCAGGACAATTGGAACATCCCAGCAGGGGCTGGGGAGCAGTTGGGTGCACCTGGGCATGGGAGCTTCACTCCAAGAAAATGCCAAGGGAAAAGCCCTTGTGCCAACGCGCAGTACCTGAGCAGGCTCGGCAGCATGTGGGGTCCCAGGTGGGAGCTTTCAACTTTCCCCTTTTATCCTGTCAGTCCTTCCCCAGAGCCCTCAGTCCCTCCACAGTGCCCCCAGAAAGGAAAGGGGTTAATTAGGAGAAATGGATTTAAATTGAGGGGGAAAAGCTTCCTTTTCCATAATTGTCTGTGTTCAAATTGTGGGAGGATCTGCTTCCCCTGCAGACTTTAATGGTCTTAATCGAAGGAAACCCTGCCTTTTCCATGCTGTTAGGGGTATATTAATTGACAGGGAATCCCCATTTTCCATTATTTTCCAGGGAAGGAGAAAACCTTGATGATGCTTTTTTATGGGTTTGAATTAAGGGTAACTCCCCCCTTCTCATCATCCTGAGGCTTAAATTCAGGGGAAAGCCCAGTTGTCCCTCTTTTTTAAGGGTTTGAATTGAGGGGAAACCCCCCCTTTTTCCATCACTGAAGAGATTTAAAGTGTGGAAAACCCCTCTTTTCCCAATATTTTAGTGGATTAAATCAAGGGGGAGAAGCCATTTATTTGTCACTGTATTGATTTACGTGGAGTTAACTGCCCCATTTCCTCATTTTAAGGGGTTCACTTGAAGGAAGCTCTGCCTTTTTCAGCATTTTAAGAGTTTAAAACTGCATGTCAGGGCACTTCTACCTCGGTATCAAATATCTAGGACGGGAGTGAGCCCAGCATGTACGTAACTGCTCGAGAGTTTATGTTTTTATCCATTTTTTATTTTTTATTTATAATGTAGATAGCCCTAATTAGAGGTTCCAATGAGACTTATACCATTCATATCATTACTGTTCTTCTTCACCCTACTTAGTCACATGTGGAGTACTACCTAATAATCACTAAGGAATAATTATGTAAGTCAACAACAAATTATCCAACTTATCTAGTTATGCTGCCAGAACACACAGTTTTATTTCTTACCAGTTTTCCGCCCTTTTGCTTGAAGTAGTTGGATCAAAAAAGGAAATATTGTCATTTCCCTGAAGAATTTTCTTCTGTATCAAGCCCTTTACTCACCTTGAGTTTAAGTTAGAGGAGCCAAACAGCTGCAGCTCCTCTGAGAGCTAGAATTTGCCTCCTACCTTCTACTGGGCACTGTGGAAAATGGGAGGTGGGCCTGGCCAGGGGTATATTAACCTCAGGCCTCTGAAAAAAAACTCGTTCTCTCCCTGGGAGCCACTGGGATAAGAGCTCTCCTCTTATTCCAATGGAGGGGACCTTTCAGCTTATCACAGAGATTTTTTCAGCAGATGCTTTTGGCATCTAAAGCAACAGAGGCTTTGCAGACACCATGAGGAAGATAGCATTGAAAACAGGGAGTATTTAAGCTCATCGTTTTGAATAAGGTGCTTTTGTGACTTCATTTTTTTTTTAATTTTTTTTGGGAACGTTGCAATTTCTGGGTTGCATTAAAAATAAAAAACTTCACATTTTTTCAGCACATTCATTGCTGCAAAAGGGACCTTCCACATGTCAAAGATGATGTCTGAGATCAAGGCTTCTGATGGGTAAGTCAAGGACTGTGAGCCGGGAGCCTGATTAGGAGTTACTGTGGGGGGATTTTGAAGGCAGCATAGAGTCCCCTAAGGCTTTTCCACAAGTGCAGCAGATGCATTCACATGTCTTACAGCACATGAGCACCTCCACCTCACTCACAGAAATGCTGTGAAATTTTGCCTCTCCCTAACCCAGGTGTCAATCATAATAACAGCCATAGCTTTAGACTCAGGCTAAAGCTGGAGACTCAAGGACCCAGGCACACTAAGGAGAGGGTGAGTAGCTGACTTGTTGGGATTTGGCCCACATAACACTAAACTCAGGCTAACTGGTGATCACGGGGCCTTCTGAGACAGGTCCGGCGTGGATTCATGTCACTGGTCATCCAAAGGATAAGTCGGGGGCCATGGCCTAGGGATGGGATGACAGGAGAACAGCAGGTTGGAAATTCCTGGGACAGGTTTAAAAATTAGCAGAGGGGAAAGGGATGTTCTTTCAGAGGCCTCTTAGGATGGCTAAAGGGAGCAGCTCTACTTTTGACTCCAACTCTAGGGCGTGCAGCACAGAGCAGTTCCAGTCTGTCTTGTGTTGTCTGATGTCTTGTGTTGTCTGACATGTCTTTAGGATCCTTGAGATCAGATATTTCTGCCTTTTCTCCTTGAGGGCCTTATCACAAGCATCAGCCATCATCTCTAGATTCTTGAACATTCAAGCTTCTCAGCACAATGCTGATATCAGTTTTCTTTTATCGGTGGACTGGGCAGCACCGCGGAGTCGCATCGAATCAGACATCTTTTGAGGCCTTGTTCCTGGCTGTATCGCTCTCCATCCTTTCCAGCTGTGAGTTGTAATGTTCTGGGGCTTGTAAGATCGTATGGATATGAGGAGCATTCTAAATGTGGCATTGTCTCACAGCCATCTTGATCATCATGACCAACAGTTCTTTTAACAGGTCACTCTGTTTCAGTCTTCTCTTCTGCTCCTTAGAGGGTCCTCCGTCCACCATCGCCATACCATTGGTCATCTCTTTTGGTGTCATTTCAGTCCTTGCCATTATTCTTCTTGCCAGGAACTTTTTAAATCATCTTTGTGTCATGCTGTTTGTAGTGCAATATGTAGTTTGTGTTTAGCGTGGAATTGCTCTGCCCTGTGGAATAGATTGGAGGGTAGGCAGAGTAGAAAGAAGACTTTACAGGTAACATTTTGCTTTACTTAGCCATCAGAGCTATACCTCAGAGCAATTGTGGCCGGTCTGTACAGAGCTGGGCAGAGACAGCCGGAGCGGTAAAGCGCCAGCTCACAGTTTTCTAATCATTTGTCTTAATGCACACTGTTGTCAGATCCTAGGAGATGATTTTGAGAAATGAGAACTTTGCAAAGGTGAAGCTTTCCCTGTGTGTCTGAGTGACTTTGACAAATAATCTTTTGCAGACCAAATATGAACGTGGGAGGCCAGAGGAGTATGGCGATAAGACACGTTGACACCCAAAGTCTGAGCTATGGCCTCACTTTCTTCTCTACGTTTACCTCATTGTTCAGATTTTCATTTCATTTTGAAGATGGTGACGCATTTGGCATGGCTGGATATTGGCACCAGAGTGACTGGATGAGTACCGGTGATCGAGATGAGTATTGATTCCAGCACAAAGCTGGATGCTATCACAGTTGTTGTATTAGTGATGAAGCTATAAGCAGCCTTTGGTTTTTTTGTGTTTTACAGGTGGTCTGCAGCTCCAATATGATCAAGACTCTTGCAGAATGTGCCGCATTGATGTTTGATTTTCTTTATTGTAGCTGACTAAGAGACAGCAGCCTGGTGATGGCAGGAATTTCCCAGGCGGCAATGTGCCCTTCTTTTACACCAAACATTGATTCGAATCTGAGAGATAAGTTGAGGGCTATGACCCACAGAGGGGATGAGAGTGGGGTGCTGGGTCTGGACTTGTCAGGAGGGATTTTTGAGTGAGCTTTGGAGACAGGGATGTCCAAGAAGTGGCCCCTTAGGCCACATAAAGGGAAAATCTCAAATTGATCACAATGCTGAGGTGCACAGGGCAGAGCAGTCACAGTGGGTGTAGTGTCACTTGTCTATCGTGCGTTCTGTGTCTTTTGGGCATCTTGTCTTTTGCCTTGGCCCTTCATGGTGCATATCAGAAACCCCGGCATCATTCTTAGCATCTCTGATCTCTGCATTCCTCGCCTGGTGCCAACGCCATTGAACCTTTGACCCAAGAGCTCAGACAGGCATCAGAATCTCATCTTTGTTTAGAAGCATCCGGTCTGATGTCTTTTAAGGTCTTGTTCTGAGCTGTATTGACACCACAAGGCTCCATTACAGTGGATTAGGACTTGGATGTGAAGATAGGGAGAGGATTCTGACCAGAGGATTCTCAGGCATCCATCTTTGTGGTTCTCAGAATAAATCATTCTACTAGCATCTTCTTCCAGCCTTGTCAGCTCGCCATCAGTCTCAGCTCAGTCATCTCATTTTGCATTCTCTCAGTCCTTGTGGTCATTCTTCCGGCCTAGAGTTTTTTCCTCCCTGTGTCACCTCCTTGTTTGTCATGCCCTGTGTCACGGGTGCCTGCACGTATTTGGCCGGGAGCTGCTCTGCCCTGCTGCATAGTCTGGGTGTAGGTGTGATAGGACAAGTCCCGGGGACTTGAAATTTGTAATACAGGGTGTCGTTGGGACTCTAGATGATATCTGTGGATTGACCCAAGATGTCTGGAGCTGTTAAGATTCTTGCAGTGCTCTGACTTTTGTCCTAACTTCCTTTCAGATGCAGATGGATCAAATACATGGCAGAGCGCCCCATCCCAGGTGAGGGGGCTCCCCTGAGAAGGTCGGTCATTGTCTTTGCAGGGGAAGTGTAAATAGTGACTGTGTTACAGCGCTGTTCTTTAATTTTAGGAAATAAAGCTGGATATCAGCAGTCAAGGTGAAGTGGGCAAGGTGAGCCATGACCTGTGGACTAAAGCAGTTGTTTTTGCTCAGTTCTCAATTTCTCGTGCAACTCTAAGCATCCACTGTTGTTTTTTTATTTTAGGTGGTCCACTTGCAAGATTTCCCAGTCCAGGATGCCAGAGGCCAGGTGGGTGCCAGCTTAAGGTATAGGTGTGGCATACTTCAGTGTGATGGGAGAGGTTGCCATTTGACAGTATCTCAGCATGCTTTCTGGCTTTGTTTATTTGCAGGTGCTGCCGCTGCCCTAGGCATGCCATGGAACAGAGGTGAGCAGGTGAGTCGTCATTTAGGCAGGGCGACTCATAGGCGAGCAGTGTGCCGCAGCATGCTAAGCACGGACCTTTTCATTTTGCAGGTATCCTCTGGGCAGCCTCTGGAGTTGAATGAAAATTTGAGGTGAGCTAGGCCAGCAGTGCAGAAGAGTCCCGGGGATTATTCTTCTGGAGGGCAATAATCACATTTTCTGTTTTGTTGTCTTTGGTACCCTGAGGAGGAGTGGAGCTGAAGAACAGCAGCACCAAAGCAGATGCAGAGAACACCTCAATGTCCACAGTGCCGACGCATTCTTTTCCATTGAGGATGGATTTTATCTGTTTGTCTTCCTAAAGCTAAGTGTTGGGGCCAGTGGCTGGGAGAAGGGGGAAAACCTTTACAATCACAGGAGGCAATTTGAAGCTAGCTTAGAGGAGAGGGCTGTAGTGGGATGGGCCCCTTGGAAGTAATGGAGGGGATTTCTCCTCAGCCTCACTAGAGCCTTCTCCGGGCAGACCCATCTCCGCGTTCTCGCCTACTTTATGTCATCAGCATTCTTGAAGTCAGACTGAATCTTTTTGCCCTGTGAGCCCGCCTTCCGGCCTGGAGCTATTGCCAGTGCTGGTAGTCATTGCTTCCTTCTCTAGGCCCATGGAGCTTCTTGTGAATCCTTTTAACAGCTTTGGCAGTAGCTTCTTGTAAGGAGTTACATTTCATCATCATGGGCCTATATTGCATGGGCCTATACTGTATGTGCCTGTAAATGTGAATCGTGTATCTTGTGTGTCATGTATCTTGTGTGTCATGTATCATATATGATATATAATATAACATATAATGTGATACATCACTTACATGAGGGGCATGAGATATGTTGCTTATTAGATATAGGGCTTGCGATATGTCACTTATTATATGAGGGGCATGAGATATGTCACTTATTATATGGGGGCCTGAGTGTGCCCGAGTGTGTATGAATGTCTGTTTTTTTTAATCTCCCTCTGTGTGCTGCCCATCCAGTATCTCAGGTTTTTTTGGTTTTTTCACTTTTTATCCATTTCATCCTACACCCTGATCTTGGTTTTTTTCTTGTGTCCTCTCTGCTGCCACTCCTTCTTTCTGCCCCTTTTTGCCTGTGTGCAGGGCTGGGGAGGAACTTCAACCCTTCTGGGGGCTGGTCCCCCTTTCTTATGTCAGCAGAGTCCCTTTTTGTGGGGATGTACACATAGAAAGGGTTCCAATCAAGTGCCCTGCTGCTGTCCAGGGCAGTTGGAGTCATTCTGTGCCTTCTTTAGGATGAGGAAAAAAGGCTGAGGAGGAGGGGATGGAGACCTGGGGGCTCCAATGTCATTTGGGGCGCCCCAAGGTCCCTCGGAGTGGGAGCCAAGCTGTGCTAGAGGAGCAGGTGAGTGGTACAGGAGCAATCCCGGTCCATTTGGAATTTTAGCAGGCACAAGCCTGGAAGGGCGCACAGGGCTCTGGACACAAACTCAGGCCCTTTCCCCTGAGAAACAAAAGTCACCCTGCCAGGTCTCGCTGAGACAGTTAGGAGGAGGCTTTTGGAACTCCAAGAGAAGCCAGGATTCCAGGTGATTCCAGCTGATGTATGGGGGCAATCCCATATTTGGAATTTTAGCAGGCAGCGGCCTGGTTGGGGGCACAGGTCCCTGGACACCAACTCTGGCCATTTTCCCTGTGAAATAAAACTCACCCTGCCAGGTTCCTGAGATCAGTTAGCAGGAGGCTTTTGACACCCCAATGGCAGCCAGGGTACAAGGTGGGGGCAGCTGTGGTACAGGAGGAATCCCTGTCCATTTGGAATTTTAGCAGGCACAAGCCTGGATCGGGGCACAGGTCCCTTGACATGACCAGTGCGTCTTTTACCTGTGAACCAAAACTCACCTTGTCTGTGTGATAATTGATAAAAGATTTGTGTTAATCACAAAAGCATTGGGGTTTGTATAAACCAGAATACTAAGCTCTGAAGTGAAGCATGGACACTAGATAAAGGAAATTATATGATAAAATCATTCTGTTTAAAATCACCTTGTTATGTTATATTATGTTGTATTATGTTACATTATATTATGTTATGTTTTCCAAATAAGTTGTATCGGCTACCAGCTTGCAAAATCAGACTTCCCAATAGCCCTTCCTGCCTTTGTCTGATCAATGCTGCCTATGTCAAGGACGAGACTCCTGGAACTTTTCTGGTGGTTATCTACAAGGACCAAATGGCTATCTGTGACTGATTATCACCCAAAGGCTTTATGAATTTGTGTAAGGATGTTTATTCAACCACCACTGCTTATGACAACAAAAAACCCAAAAATTATTGATTGCAATGAGAACCCACAGTATAAGAAGAGGCTGCAAACCGAGGTTGGGTGGAGCCTGGAGTGGGCGGTGACCCCTTGCGTTCCCCAGTGCGCTGCTTGCTCTTTCTATATCAAATAAAGCAACCTAAATTTTGCTGAATATCGAGACTTTTGTCTCTCATTTATAACATCTGGCTCCTGCGACCAGCTAGGAGGAGGTGTTTGGCACTTCCGGAGAAGCCTGGATTCCACGTGGTTGCAGCTGTCGTTCGCCAGCAATCCCTGTCCATGTGGACTTTCAGCAGGCAGAAGCCCGGATGGGTGCACAGGTCTCCCGACATAAACTGTGGCCCTTTTCCCTGGGAAAACCAAACTCACACTCCCAGGTTCCTGAGATCAGTTTGGAGGAGGCTTTTGGCATTCAGACTGCAGCAAGGTTTCTAAGTGGTGGCAGTTGTTTCTGGGAGGTTTCCTGCCTTATTAGGAGAAAATAATTCTATGTTCAGGGAAAACATATAAAGAATAGAAAAATAAAAATAAAAATATATTTGTATAAATATAAAATTTAAACAGGTAAATCTTATCTATATTAAATATATAGTATATAATATAAATAATGCAAATAGAATAATATATAAATATAAATTATAAATATGAAAATAGAAATATGAAAATAGTATAGTTTAAAATAAATGTTTTATTGCTTTTTATTTGGTTGGAGGCTGGGTTTTTTTATAAATAATATAAACAAAAATATACAAATATACAATAAATATATACAGACATAATATTATAAATATATATGCATATCTAAATATATGAAAGTATAAATATATATATAATGTAAATAAATATCGGTATATATATAGTATTTAATTTAAATATTATTATATATTATAGTGCATTTTAATATATAATATACATAATATAGATATATGAATATAAAGTACAGATATCAATATGAAAACTAAATAGAAAAATATATTTAAATATAATTAAAAATAAAGGGAGTTTTTGTTTATTTGGTTAGAAATAGGACTTTTAAATAATAATAAAATATAAAAACAAAAATATATATCTAAAAAATTATGCATGGAATAAAAAGAAATACTAATATAAAGATATATATATTGAATAATAATGTTGTATATGTGGTATACTATAATAGAAATTAAATTGAATATATGAAATATGTATAGATTATGAATATGAATATAAATTAAATATTCTTTTTTATATATATATATATATCTAAAGGGTTTTTTTAATTGTTTTCATTTGGTTAGAGGCAGGAGTTTTAAAATTTTGGTCCGGGTTTTTTGGGGCATTCATTTAGGAGGATTTTTTGAAGGATTGGGATTCTCCTTTTTGCCATCCCTTGACTGTGCACAAAGCAGCCATCCTGCAAGCCGGTGCCATGGCAGTACTGCAAGGAGTGTGCAGCGAGTGTGCAAGGACTGTTCAAGGAGTGTGAAAGGAGCGTGAAAGGAGTGTGCAAGATGTTTGTAAGGGATGTGCAATGAGTGTGAATAAGTATGCACGGAGTGTGCAAGTTGTGTTCAAGGAGGGTGCAATAAGTGCACAAGAAGTGTGTAAAGAGTGGGCAAGGAGTGTGCAAGAAGTGTGTAAGACGTGTACAATGAGTGCAAGATCTGTGCAATGAGTCTGATTGATTGCTCGGCGCGCGATTCCTAATTCCTGCTGATCGATTAGCTCGGCGCTCAATTGCCAATGCCTACCGATCGATCAGCTCGGCGATCGATTGATCGTGCCTGCCGATCGACTATATCAGCGATCGATGGCTAATGCCTGTTGATCGATTAGATCGGCAATCGATTAGTTCGGCGATTGATGGCTAATGCGTGCCGATCGATTAGCGCGCTGATCGATTGATCGCGACTGCCGATCGATTATATCGACAATCGATTGATCGCGCCTGCCGAAATGGGTGAAAAATCAGTGGTAAATGGGGGAAAAGTCGATGAGAAATGGGGAAATATTCAGTGAGAAATGGAGGGAAAAAAATCAGTGAGTAATGGGGGAAAAATGGGGAAAAAAATCCATGAGAAATGGGTGGAAAAAATCAGTGAGAAATGGGGAAAAATCCAAGGAAAACAGACAAACAATACATGGGCAATGGCGGGAACAGAGCGAGCTGTTTTCGCTCGTGCTGTGGTGGCCGATGCTGTGGGAAAAAATCAGTGAGAAATGGGGGCAACAATCAGTGATAAATGGGGGGGAAAATAGGGAAATATCCATGAAAATTGGGGGGAAAATGCATGAAAAATGGGGGGAAAAATTCAGAGAGAAATGGGGGCAAAATCACTGAGAAATGGGGAAAAAATCAGTGATTATTGGGGGGAAAAATGCATGAAAAATGGGGAATAATCA